TACTGTGACTGAGTTTAAGTATCTTGGAGGTTTTTTGGATTTCTAACCTTGATTATAAGAAACAAATTAAAAAATGACACAAACTGTTGGATATAACCTGGTTAATTTTATACGTTAGATCTTATTTGTCATTGGAAGAATCCAAGATATTCATGCAGCCATTTTTCCACACATCTCATGTTGTATTTCATGTTTGTCAGTTGTGATGAGCTYTGAGAAAGACGAGTGATGGACAGTGTCAAGGTGAAACAGATGTAAATAATTAGTCCATGACATCACTGATAAAACCTGTAGTCTTGTMACAAACAGGCCCTCAGAATGTTGGACAACAAGCTTAAAGACACCATCACTGTCAGACTGTGCAGAAATATAACTTGTTTTCTTTTAAGAATTACAGAGTTTTCTCAAATATGGAAACAGTAAATAAAATTTAAAACAGTTCAGCACCAGTCTGTTTGTAAAAATCAGTTCATTATCGTTCAGCTGTTTCTTTGCTCCTAACCAGAACCTGCAGGCAGAACTGTGACGTCTCAGCTCGGCTCTCAGCCTTTGGTCCAGCAGCTTTGTTCAGTTAAAACATCCCTCAGTGGAACACTGCTCCTCATCATGGAAAATACTGTAGTTCTTTTATTAGTTTTTCAGATAATCTTTAAAAATATCTCAAATCTACTCAGTGTTGCACTGGGTAATTGATTTTAGAGTTTGATTTTGGTTTGGGGGAGTTGCAGGTTTTTGTTGAATGCTTGATGATACAACCTTTTAATTGTGTTTGGAGAGTGGGGTGTTTGTGTATTTTTATTGTTGATTGTAAAATGTTTTGTTTTGTATTTTTTTCTTTTTTATATTGTTGGATGCTGTAATGTTTTTTTATTGTTGGATTTGTTGGATGCAGTTTTGTTTTTATTATTAGAAGGACTGCAGATGTAAATTAGCCTTAGGCTAACTCTGGTGCAATGCATCAAATGTTTTTATGTTTATGTTTTAATTTCACATTGTCCTCATAAATACAATTAATTCATTAATAAGATGGATGGATGATGGATGATGGATGATGGATGATGGATGATGATGGATGATGGATGATGGATGGATGGATGATGGATGATGGATGATGGATGATGGATGATGGATGGATGGATGATGGATGTATAATG